AGGAGAGAATATTTTTTAGACTGAATTTGTAAAAATCAGCTATACCGAGGGACCCGAGGTGTAACTTACTATAAAAATAACTATTAAAGGGCTAAATGTTAACTAATGACTTAGTTCAGGGACCAATTTCGGCATTTCACTGAAAATATAGTAAGCCGAAACCCAAATAAGTATGAACCCTCGTCTATACTCCAAATGCAAACCCTCTTCAACACCCTCTTGAGGCTTGAACCCTCGCATCACCTGAAAACCAACGCTATTCGAAGATTTATTCTCAATTCCGTGCTTAGCAGATTCATAATCTCTATGATGAGATAATCAATCCACAAAATTTGGTTGAATTGAACCAAAAACATGGTTTCGAAGCAATCCGGCAAGGAAAATGAGGATGCTGGTGCCGATGCTGATGTAGATGCTGGTGTGGTTTCTTCTCCCAGGCCAGTTCGCACAAGTGATAGGCTTCGAAAAAGGCCTAAATCGTACAATCGGTATGTAATGTTTCCGAAGTCGAAACGAAGCAAGACGAAAACGAGAACCGCTGCTTCTCAGATTGCCAAGATGTTAAACACCAGACAGAACAACTCGGATGTAATTCGGTTTCTCTTATGGTCTTCTATGCATATTTAGCTTTATTATCTAAATGCATGTGCATAATTATGCTAGATGTTGGAAATGCGGTTTGTTTGGCCACCTATCTGTTGACTATCTGTTAGATTCTTTAATTTGTTGACTTTAGAGGTAATGATGATGTAGTTTGATGCATGCGACTTGACTACTGGTGTGCATAGTGTTGCTATATCCAATTCCATGGTTTGAACTCAGAAATGGGGTAAAATCAGTTCAATGGATATGAACAGCACGAACATAATTTTCCTGTTTTCATATGAACTACAGCGGTTGAGCGTACATGATTGGTAATAAGATAGTGTGTTCTTCATAAATCATCCGTGACTTATGACTATTAGAGTTATGAAACCTGTTTAGTTAGTGTTGTCACAAGTTAAGCTAATGCAGATAACAAAACTTGAAAAGTTTAAGGTTAAGAACATTTAAATTTTGCCTCCTTAAATCAGTGCACTGTAATCTGATTGCTATCATGAATTCAGTTTCTCAGGTGTTATATATATGATCTGTGATAGAAACCAACGTTTTTTTATTATTGATAATTAATGAGAAATTAGATACCCTATAATCTGTATCAAATCAAGCACAATCTCCAAATCCCTATTTTATAGTTTCTTGATTATGGAAAATATCGTTGTTGCCTATTTTGATTATGGAAACACTATCATTATTTTTGTCTGTTTTAGTAGATATAAATCCCATTTTTGTAATTTATTCCTAGTGTTATTGCAGTCTGTTCTGGCAACCCTTCGTCGTTCCACAAGACAAAGAAGAGTTTCTGTAAATCTGGACGCCTACACAGACAGTACTGGAACAGAAGACAACGACCTAATGGTGAGTGAGTTACTTTTCTTGATCTCTCAAAATATTTTTAATTAAAATATTTTGTTTATTTTCAGGGTCCAAATCCAAAGTACAGAAGTTCCAGGAGTCGAAATAACAGCAGCAACAGGCATAAAGAGAAGCTGCTTCCTCGGCGTGAAGGACTGAGACCTCGCCATTCTAATTCAGGTTCAAGAGGACAACTCATTCTTGAATCTGAAGATGATGAAAGAGAGAATTATGAAGAGAATAATAATAATAATGACCAAAACGGACATGAAAATGGCAATAATGAGATGGAGGAAGAAGATGGTGATGATGAAGGAGAAGGTGAAGAAGGTGAAGAAGATGAAGAAGAAGAAGAAGAAGAAGAGAAGAAGAAGAAGAAGAAGAAGAGCAAGAAGAGGGTAGAAGAAGATACGATCTTAGAAACCGTTCAGAGGTTCGAAGACTTGAAGAGAGTGGTGGTAAACAAAGAGCAAGATCTCCCAGAAGGGTACTTCAACAAGGGGTAAAAATGTCAAAACACAATCGTGATGTCAGAAGAGGTGGATCCGGATCATCCCGTGTCCATAAACGCCACCGTATCTCAAGAACCACCGAAGACTCTGACGATTCTCTCCTTGTCGATGAGCTAGACCAAGCCATGCCAATGCCATGGTCACGAGGGGCAAATCGGTCATTTCCACCACCATGGCTGTTAGGTGGACCCGACATGCACGGGTCATTAAACATTGCAGCTCCGGTTGGGGTCAAAGTCAACCCGATGTTTTGTCCAGCCTGGCATCCGGTGTACAAACCGCGGGCCCCAGTTCAAAAGGTGGGGCCGACATTCAACCTTTACAAGTAGACGAAAGTGTAAGTTTCGATGACATAGGCGGGCTTTCTGGTTACATCGACGCGTTAAAAGAAATGGTGTTTTTCCCGCTTTTGTACCCGGATTTTTTCGCTAATTACCATATTACCCCTCCGAGAGGAGTCCTCCTCTGTGGGCCACCTGGCACTGGGAAGACATTAATCGCACGTGCTTTAGCTTGTGCTGCTTCAAAAGCCGGACAGAAAGTGAGTTTCTACATGAGGAAAGGAGCGGATGTGCTTTCCAAATGGGTAGGTGAAGCCGAAAGACAGCTGAAATTGCTCTTTGAAGAAGCACAAAGAAACCAACCTTCAATTATATTCTTTGATGAAATTGACGGACTTGCCCCTGTGAGGTCAAGCAAACAAGAACAGATTCACAACTCCATTGTTTCAACTCTTCTTGCATTAATGGATGGTTTGGATTCAAGAGGACAAGTGGTTTTAATCGGGGCAACAAATCGGATCGATGCGATTGATGGAGCATTGAGAAAGACCTGGTAGATTTGATCGTGAATTTACTTTCCAATTACCTGGTTTGGATGCACGTGTTGAAATTCTAGACATTCATACAAGAAAATGGAAACAGCCACCTGTAAAAGAGTTGAAATTGGAGCTTGCTGCAAGTTGTGTGGGGTATTGTGGGGCTGATTTGAAAGCTCTTTGTACTGAGCTGCATATAACGTGCGTTTTTTCGTGAAAAATACCCTCAGGTTTACACCAGTGATGATAAGTTTTTAATAGATGTTGAATCTGTTGAGGTTGAAAAGAAGCATTTTATGGAAGCCATGTCAGCAATTACACCTGCTGCACATAGAGGTTCGGTTGTGCATTCTAGACCTTTGTCGCCAGTTGTATCGCCATGTCTGCAAACATTTCACAGAATGCCATGAGGGTTTATCGCTGATATCTTTCCTGTTCTTGAAATTTCATCTGAATCGAGTAAATTTTCCATGGTTGTTTCCGGTTTTGCCCTTCCTCTTGTGTACAGACCCAGGCTTCTGTTGTGTGGGATCGAGGGCGCTGGGCTGGTAATTTTTTTTTCTTCAGTTTGATATTTATATTTTTTGTTATTATTTAAACGGTGGAATGATCCTTTTTTTTTTTGTTTGATAGGATCATTTGGGACCTTCTATTTTACATGAACTGGAAAAATTTCCTGTTCATGCCCTTGGACTTTCTTCTCTTTTATCTGATCCGAGTGCTAAAACACCAGAGGAAGCTTTGGTTCATGTTTTTGGTGAAGCAAGGAGAACTACACCTTCTATACTCTATTTCCTCAAGTTCATCTTTGGTGGGAAAATGTCGGTCCCTTTTTCAATTTCTTTCATTTTTATTGTTTATATAGAAATTTATTCTAATACAGCATGTTTGGTTCAAGAATTAAAATCTTTTTGTCATCTTATCTTGTAATCCCAATTTTGATTTCAGGCACATGATCAACTCAGGGCTGTGCTATTGACTTTATTAGCAGAATTGCCATCAGATTCCCCCATATTACTTCTTGGAACTTCATTTGTTCAGCTTGATGAGCTTGATGGGGATCCCTCTTCTGTATTCCCTTCTAGTAGCATGTATATTTGACTACTTATAAAATCACAATTGATATAAATATCTTTGAAAGAGTTAATTATGTATGTAACTATGTATTGCAGATATCAGGTGGATAAACCAATAACGGAGGATAGAAGTTTGTTTTTTGATCATTTGATTGAAGCTGCTTTTTCAATACCATCAGAGGGAGGGGCAAAAAAGTCAAAAAAATCAGCTGCTGTTCCTGAACTCAGCAAGGCACCAAAGGTGGACACTGGCCCAAAAGTGTCTGAATTAAAAGCTAAAGCAGAGGCTGAAGGTCATGCTCTTAGGAGATTACGAATGTGCCTACGTGATGTTTGCAATAGGTAAGATTTTCTTCATTGCAATATATGTGATTAAAAATCTAGTTATTGAGTAGAAATGGTGTGTTTTTTTTTTTTTTTTTTTTTTTTTTTTAGGGTTTTGTATGATAAAAGGTTCAGTGCGTTTCACTATCCAGTGTTGGAAGAGGATGCCCCTGACTATCATGCAGTTATTCAGAAGCCTATGGACATGGCTACCCTTCTACAACGTGTTGATGCTGGCAAATACATAACTTGCAAAGCCTTTTTGGAAGATTTTGATCTCATTTTAGCAAACGCAAAGGTAACAATTACATATTAATTATCTCTGTATCTATTTTTTTTTTTAAAAACTTTTCTTTTGTTGTTGCAGATATATAATAGGGACGATTACAATGGAGCTAGGATTGTCAGTAGAGCTTATGAACTTCGAGATTCAGTATGCCATTTTCTTTTTAATTACCAAGCTTTCTAAGACTAACACTTGATGACAAGGGCAATTATGTCATTTGCACATACAAAATGAAGGTGTTGTTTTTATTATTATTATAAAGTTTTGGTGTGATTGAAGTGTTTTTGGCGGGGTTACTTACAGGTGCATGGGATGCTATCGCAGATGGACCCCGCATTGGTGAGTTATTGTGAAAAAATAGCTGAAAATGGGGGCCCACTCACTCTGCCTGAAGAAATTGGTGGATCTGTTCATGTTGCTCAAATGGCAACAACAACTATGACAAGGGCAAGTGCTCGTCTAAGGAATGTCCAGCCAGAAGTCAATGTGGATCAAAGCTATGAAGTCATAGCACTCAAACGACCAAAGAAAATTCTTGATCCTTCACATCCAGGTATCTATGACTTTTACCAAATTGTATTTGTATTATTATAATCTAATTATTTTGTTTGTGGATTTTAAGGTTTTACACCCGATGAAGGATCTCAACAACAAGAACAACCGGTTGTCGATCAAGCCGATCCAAAACCTGCAAGCCCACCTCCCGAATCCATCGAAGTCGACACAAATCCTGACGAAATTAGCGAGTCAAAGTCAAAGTCAAAGTCAACAGACACAATCATGTCAGATGTTGAAACCGAAACCAAAATCGAGTCGATTAAAAAGCTTTTATTGGATCGAACAACCGATTACGGGGTCCCACAGCTGGAAAGGCTGTATACGCAAATAGTAAAAGGTGTTTTTGGGTTGAAAATTGTTGATCAGGATGATTTTAAGCCTCCGGTTTTGGAGTTTTTGTTGGGGTTTGTTGAAAACGAGGCTAATTTTTGAAGGGATTTGATTTTGTTTTCTTCTTTTAAGGTTGATAGATTTTTTTTTCTTTTTAAAAAGTTTTAAAGGATTTTGGTAGAATCTAAATTTGAACTTTGGTTATTGGGGGAGACTACTAGATGATGTTGGTAATTGCGTAGATTCGATTCTTTTTACAATTTATACTTATTTCGTCCTTCATAATTGTTTTGTTGATTAATTCCTGTTATAGGACAAAGTAGATGGTGACTAGTAGGGATTAGAATTTGGCCCGAAAACCCGAACCGAACCGAATTAGACCCGAATAAGCAATTCGATTCGGTTTTCGGGTATCTATATAAGCCTTATTCGGTTTTCGGGTTATTCGGTCCGGGTTACCCGAATAAGGGCTTATTCGGTCCAAAAAGGACCGAACCGAATATGAAAAGTCACATTTTTTTCCTAACATGATTGCTTATTCGGTCTTCTTTTCTATCGATCGTTACCCAACAAAATCCACGTAATACACCAAAAAAAAATCAACGAAATCAAATTCGATCATCCGTATTACACCAAATCGACAGTAGCGTATTACACCAAATCGATGAGTCGACGGCATTACTTTTTGATCGATTGAGGTTTTTATCATCCTTGCAACATTACTCTTTTAGTGTTTAATTTGTTTTTTTAAAAGATTTGTTATGAAATCATAAACTACAAAAGTCATACAAAATATAATATTTATAATCACATTGTAAATGTTATTTGGGTTATTCGGGCCGGAACCGAACCGAACCGAATAATACCCGAACCGAACCGAACCCGTATTGCTTATTTGGTTCGGTTTTCGGTTCATACAATTACCCTTATTCGGTTTTCGGTTTATTCGGGTTCGGGTCGGTTCGGTTCGGTTCCGACCCGAATAACATCCCTAGTGACTAGTTTATGACATTTTCTCTAACTGGTTATAAGTTTTGTATATTTTGTGTTCGTGTGTGGTCTTTGTTGATATCTTTAAGAGTAAATTGCAAAATTGGTCCCTGGGATCTCAAAAAGTACCGTTTGAGTCAAATTTCTTTCGTTGATATCTTTATGAGTAAATTGCAAAGTTTGCAATTGGTCCCTGTGGGATCTCAAAATGACCGTTGGAGTTGTTTTTTTGTACGGTCGGTCCAAAATTGGTCACCGAACCTGAAATGATTTTCTTACCTTTACTAATTTCTTTCCAAATTTTTTTTAATTATTTACCTATTTTTCCTACAATAATAATAATAATAACAATTTTTTTTTAATTATTTACCTATTTTTCCAATAATATAATAATAATAACCTACAACTCTTTTTTCATAACACAACCATCCCATTTCTCTCTTGTCGTTACTATAGGAAATCTACCGACTACCGTGGGTTTCAAACAACCCTAAATCAACAGACATAGCGCTGTTGTCGACCTAGGGTTTTGTTTGAAACAAAATAGAGTTCCGGACTTCTGGTAAACACCACCACTATTCAAACACTGTTGGACACATTGTATTTTTGGGTTTTCGAATCTGCAGTAGACTCATCGGTGACTTCGTCCTTAGTGCGAAACCTTAACTCATATTTTGTAACATCCTCAATTTTCGTACCCAAATAAAACTTTTTCTTTGTGCTTATTTAAAACAAAGTATTCTTTTAAAAGAATACATTAGTGCGAAATTGTTTCAAAACATTTTTCTTTTAAGATAAATAAGTATTGAAACATTTTTAAAGAAACATTTTGTCTTCACTAATGATAAAACCGTCGGATGTCATAATCGATACAGAAACATAAACATAAACTAGTCCTTACAGACCTTACCACAGTTTATTCTACTATCAGCCACAATCTCTTAAATCACTCGGCAGATAACAATCACTTATATGTCTTCGTACCGTTATCTGTGATAGAAATAGAATGAGTAGGTCAAACTTGAGAGCTTAGTGAGTACATAGAATTTTCAACCCACAATAATATATATATATATATATATATATAATATATATATATATATATATTATATATATAGATATATATATATATATATATTTCACACCAAATAATTAACTCGGTTACTCATTCCCGTTATTCTCACACATTGATCCTAAAATGATGATCTTAAGGGACATATCCTAATGGATCATTATAAGCAACGAATAGACAATACAACTTCGAGGATTCCTTAGCAATATAAGTCAATAAAGACAACTATGGGGGATAGAGTACCCGAATGGATGCACAATTCATTAACACCTACAAATTGCGAGTCTACCAGTATTCCACAAGACAAGACTATCTAGAATAGTCAGTGGTTATCATCTATACTCTGCTAGATGACTAGTCTAAATAGTACAATAGTCCAATGTTGGTCACGACCTCACACCATTATTTTATCTTCTACAACCCTTTACTACCCAATATATTCTACATATGATAATAAAATAAATCATTACTTCACAATATCTGATTCAAATAAGCATAAATCCTATTATAACACATGTATCATACATACAGAAAAACAACACATAACATTTAAACATTTAAATACTTTTGTATCTATGTGTAAGATGAAAATAACTCTACACTCACATTGTTAAAGGTGGATGATTAGTGGGAAAGTTAGTCATTTGCATAAAATTTTAGCTTTCCCTTTTAAATGACCTACATACAATTATTACTAAGTCTTCGTCTTTGTTGTATTATTCGAAACTATAATAACAATATTTCAAATTCCCCATTAATCCTAAGAAATATTGAGTTCTATAAAATATGGAATAACCAGGTAGGATCTGTTTGGTTTATAAATATATTGTTTGGAAAATCTACTTGAAACATGTCACTAAGATCTAGCCTAGACATCACTTCTATAAGTAGATCGATCAATATTATAACTAAAGTTATTGATAAATCTTATTTATAGGTTCATAATAACAACTATAAGCATAAATATAAGTTACACTTAAAAGCGTAGTAAGTGCAACTCACGTTACAGGTTTTCCTAACAAAAGTTCGAAAAGTCGCGGGCAAAATTCCGTCGTTTAATTTGATCAAAAACAATCCCTCCAATAGATTGGTTTATTTAAAACAACCCTTTTGAATTAAATCATTACAAAACAGCCCCTTGTTTGATCTATTTAATCAAATCAGCCCCTCTAGTTGATTTTCCGAGACCAAAACAGTCCTAAAAGTATTCCGAAGTTCAAAAGTTGTTGTAAATTGCGATTTCTCACATCAAGCTTCACAAAAACGAACCAAATTTGAACTTAAATCGAAATCATGCTATGAGGGTGAGTCTTTATGGCCCCATTTTAAGCTTTTGTGACTTTTTTTGTGGGAAAGATACATACTTGTTTTGTTAAAATGAGAGTTTGATGCTATTTTTTGTTTATTTCATGCTATGGTCATATGATTAAGTTCTTGACATGTTATTTGGGTATTTTGGGTTGTATATACTTAATTGTTATATTAACATGCAAATAAACATGTTAGGATTCATAAACAAATTTTGTGACATGTTATGTGTATAAGAAGTCATAATATGTTAATAGGCAAGTGGTTCATTAAATAACTAGCCTAAAAATGTCCACATGTTTCTTTTATGACATTTTTATGCAAAATGATATGTTTTACATATCCATATATTTTTAGATATGAAATTGCTTTTAAACATATGTTTGACACAAAATAACAACCTAGTATGTCAATTTAAGTTTTATATGAAAAATGAACTTAAAATTGCTTTGGTTAAATGAAATGTGGTCTAGGGGATAAATACATGTATATTTGATAAAAATATATGTTTTATGTATTTTTAAAAAAAGATTTGTACAAAAATGATTAAAACATGATTTTTATATAAAAGAGTTATGATTTTATATAAAAATGGGATTTATACAAAGAATGGTCCATAAATGTCTTATTTCGGTTTTTATATAAAATAATGACAAATTATGTTAATAAGAATTTTTATATAAAAATGGAACATTAGATGCGTTTAACACTTGCTATATATATATATATATATATATATATATATATATATATATATATATATATATATATATATATATGAACTAAGGACACTATTTCATGAAATAAATAGTATTTAACAACATTTGAAACAAAATATAGTAGAAGTGAGTTATCATGGTTTTCGGTTAATAACTTCTTTGTTCATATATTTGTGTTTTTATTTTTTTAATTTTTTTATAAACTATGTGATTTGGTTGATTTCACATTGGTTGAAATATGAATTTTTTGAAAACGCAACCGTTCGCTGTCCAAATTTTGATAGAAATTCATTATAATGCTTAAAAACTCTAAGTATAGAAAATTTAATAACCTATGTTTTAAAGCTTGATATTCTTTCTTGAACATTTTGAATTAGTTAGTCAATAAAACTACCATAGGAGTTTGAGACTAAAACATGTGCACAAAATCCTATACTTGATAAATATGAGACTTCTATGTGAGAAATAATTCATTCACTAAGAACATAAACTTAGTATCAGCCCTCTGTGCCAAACGTGGAACTATTGGTATAGATCTATGCAGGTGGTATAGATCTATACGGGTTGACAACCTCGCATGTGGTTGCTAGCTACAAATACCGTCTGACAAGACAAAATGGGCGTAATTGTTCTTTCTTTAATTACTAAATGACTTCGATGACACGTTAGTGATATTTAAGGCACCTTGATTCACAGTGCTCTACAGAGGCTTTCTCAGTCAGTAGTGTTGGTTATAGTGTAACATCTCAAAAATCATGAGTAAAAATTTCAGTTTCAATCATTCCAAAATCCATAAGTTACATCAAAACATAGTTTCTCCAAACCATAAACATGAGTAAGAGTTTCCCAAAATCAAAAATCATATAACAATCCAGGAAGATTTGTATAATCATGCCTTCACCTTTCCCCTATGCTCTGAAGTACCTGAAACCATAAAACCAAACTGTAAGCCAAAGCTTAGTGAGTTCCCCCAAAATACACCACACTCAACCATATACAATGCATGCATACATACGAGCCTACAGTCTACCTCGACCGCCTCGTAAGGCCTACAGGGTGTCTGGACCGCTCTACCGAGCCTACAATATATTGGCTCGCCTCGCAAGGCCTACAGTAGTTTGGACCACTCCCGAGCCTACAATAT